ATACCTTTCTTTTCTTTGCTTTCCTTTCCTTTTCTTTTCTTTATTTTATTTTATTTTTTGGAGACAGAGTCTCACTCTATCCCCCAGGTTGGAGTGCGGTGGTGCGATCTTGGCTCACTGCAACCTCCACTTCCCACGTTCAAAGGATTCTCATGCCTCAGCCTCCTGAGTAGCTGGGATTATAGGCATTCACCAACACTCCTGGCTAATTTTTTGTATTTTTAGTAGAGACAGGGTTTTCCCATGTTGGCCAGGCTGCTCTCGAACTCCTGACATCAGGTGATCCGCCCACCTCAGCTTCCCAAAGTGCTGGGATTACAGGCAGGAGCCACTGCACCTGGCCAACGGAGAATACCTTTCTATTTATTTTTCTTCTGCCTGGAGGATGATCATTTTGTTTCTGATTTCTTTTCTTACACAGAGCCTGGGAATCACAGGTCAAGAGGAAAATCACAGATTAGGAACAAAGAGGAGTGCACCAATGGGCAAGAACATATAAAGCTTATGAACAATAGGATGAGAGCTTTTCCAACTGTCCATCTCGCCTCTGCCCTTTGAGGTTGGAAGTTGGCATGTGTGCCCTGGTTGTGCGTAAAAGCTGCTGTATTTTCCTCATTGGCCTAAGCCTAAGTGCCATAAATGCGTCCTCTAGGTTTTCTCATTAAAGATGAATTTGGGTAGATAGATTAGAGATGGGGGAAAAAAAAACCCAGTGGAGGGTAAAAGGTTTTCATCACTTAATAATACCAATTTTATCATCACTTAGCATAACTTCTTTCTGCCAATTTTATCATCACTTACAATAACTTGCATTAGGGTAATAAGGCATTAAGTATATGTTGATTGCAAATAATCTGGTTACATTCACTAATTATATGGAGACTGATTTTTTTCCTGTTTGAAATATAATTTTCCTAAAAACAGGACATATCAAAGTAAGGAGACACATATGCTGTGGAGATAGAAAATGAAATTCTTGTGTATTTGGCAAGTGCCTGATTACAAGATGAAAATAGATGGAGAATTCATCGCAGAAATAAAGAATGTAAATGGCTTGCTGTGGCTGATTTGCTCTCACCTTTTCTCCCTTGGGGTCAAATTAATATGTTTACTACTGATAAGGCGTTTTATATAGCAGAGGTGTTGGTGCTCAAATGCCATCTCACAGAGTAGGGGGCTGCCCTGAACACATGCTCTTTAGAGAGATTAAGTATAAATTGCCAGGCTAGGAATTTTATGAGTCTTCCATAGCTGTGAAGTGCTGGTTTAAGTGAGGGATAGAGAGGCTTAGGATGCATTAGATTGTCATTTAGGGCTGCTATAAAATTTCGTAAGCCTATCCATTCTAACCCAGCTTTCAGATGGCTATCATCTCTCAGTGGTAATAATGACACTGCCACTATGATGAGCAAGTTGCTACTTGAAGACGGACACATATGGACTAAATTCAAACTATTGTTTCCAACGTGATCAAACACCCCTTGGCTGTTTTCAAATTTATGTGATTACAAATGCCCTTAGCATCCAAACCAGAGCTAGATTTTCGGATTTCGGTATTTCTGGAATTGGAAATAATTTCCTATCAGCCAGCCACAGATATTTTCCAGTCTATTTTTCAGTAAAGTGTTCAGATTTTTTGTTCTGGCTTATAAGAAATAAAAAATGACTCAGATTTCAATTAAAAACATAATGATAATGATAGTTTGCATGGTGTCATGTTTTCAGCTATTTAAAAACAATTATGTGTTATTTTTGCTCTCTTTAAAGATCCCAAGTGTAAGGAGAATTTGTGTGATTTACTGTACTTTACAGATTAAACAGGTATTTGCTCCATTTTACAGACAAGGAACTGAGGCTTAGAGAGACAGGTTGGTCAAGGTCGCACATCAAGCGTCAGCGTGAAGACTGGGAGGCTCCACGTGTCCTGCTCTGCAGCTTTCAACCCTAGCAGGTGAGATATGGATGATAGGAAATGCAAACCACCCCATTCACTGTTAACTAAGCCACAATGCACTTTCACCGCAATCTTCCTGAGCATGGCTCTTACAGAAGGATGTGACCTTTAGTGTGAGATCTGGCCAGACTGGGCCGACGTGAGGGCCTGCCAAGCTCATGGGCTGGTGTCTTTATGTTTTGCGTACTTACCATCATATCAATGTGCAAGGGTGTCTGAGATGGCCAAAATTGGGTTGGCTCTATGTTTGGAGAGTAGGGCACATGTGAAGTGGCTGGAGGGACACCAGCTATGCCATCCGAATTGCCAAGGGCCTTCAGGGCCATCTGTTCACTGACTGCACCTAAAGGCATCTCTCAAGTTGCTCAGTCACTGTGGTTTCCTTCCTGAAAGTAATGAAAGGTGAGAATAAGTTTTGTGTCCCTGTAGGTTTCCAAAGAGCAAATGAGAAACCTGGCGCAGGCTGGGGTGCCATCACTCACGCCTGTAATTGCAGCACTTTGGGAGGCTGAGGGGAGAGGATTACCTGAGGCCAGGATTCTAGACCAGCCTGGGCAACATAGTGGGACACCATGTCTATAAAAAACTTAAAAATTAGGCAGGCATGGTGGCTGCATGCCAGTAGCCCTAGCTACTCGGGGGGCTGAGGCAGGAGGAGTGCTTGAGCCAGGGAGGTCAAGGCTGCAGTGAGCCATGACTGTGCCACTGCACTCCAGCCTGGGTGACAGAGTGAGACCCTGTCTCAAAAACAAGAAACCAAAACTATCGTAATTCAAATCTGAACATACTCTAAGATAGAATAAGTATGTCCGTTTTGATTGCAGATTGTTACCTGAGGGTGTGTTAATTCCCAATGACGTTGCTACTACACTTGATATCTCACCTTGGGAGAAAAAAAGGTCAAGAAGGTTTAAGTCAGGAAAAGTCGTAGTCCAAAGAGGAGACTTTTCCTTTATTTCAGTCTCTCCCATCTGTATGTGCCATCCACAACTAGAATACACGTTACAAGTTCCTGGGTGATTCCAGGGCCAAGGGAAGCAAGGTTTATATATTGCTGAGAAGAATGCTCCAACCTGAATTTAAGAAGTGTCTTGCTGTCACATTCTACCTCTTTGTACTAAAAATTGCATTTCTAAAACTGTAAAAGGGAATTGCTTGGCCTCCCTAAATGTAAAATCACCAAGGTGAGATGATTTTTTTGCGTTACAGTGCCCCCGTGACCCCATGAGATTTACTGAGTAAGATGTCTTATGGGGGGCAGCGGGGGGTTCAGATGCACAGACGCAAGGCCTGCAATCACAGCACGGACAATCCTTCTATTAACAAGAAACAGCATTTCAAATTATTCCAAATGCTGCTAAAATTAAGCCCAACTGTTCAATTTTCCACGTGTTCCTTTTAATTAGAAATGAAATGAAAGAGAAAAAGAAACCATTGAAATTACATAAATAAAAACAGATGGAATGGTGTATTGGAAGCTCTCTTCTATAATACATTCCCTTTAATAACATTCATTGGTTAATTTGGTTGATAAAAGCAGCGTTAAAATTAAATAAGAATTAACATACACTTGGATAAATATTTGTCGCTTCTTTCATGTGCTACCATGATAAAGGTAATTTAGCTTAAAAGCAGTCATCATCTTTCTTCATAACTGATAAAGCATTACTAATTGTGTGTGTTAATATGGTACAATATGGAATTGAATAGAGATTTTATCTTAATAACATCTCCATTAAATTAAAGACAGTGTTGTATGACAGGAAAGATAAGTCTGTTTATTCCAAGCTAGTACATCAAAAGAACAACTGTGGGAGATGCTGCAGTAACTACCATTTTCTAGCGTGTTCTAGCTGGCAGCATCACGTTTATAGTCACTGTTGTAAGCAACACTGTTTTGTGGGATAACCTAGATAATGCTTCATTGAGAAAAGTGATATTTTAATTATGGTGTAAAAGATACTGATCTTTTCCTTTCTGTGTCTAATAGGATCTTTCTACAAATAAGACGCTGAGTGGAAAATGATCTGATTCTGTTGCAATAAAATAACCATCCTTTGAGGCAATTTCACTACCCCGAGCCTCTGTGAGCAGGATATGAGGGGCCAGGAGCTGCCATGAAGAGAATGGACAATAAGGACAGAACTGGGGAAAGGAGGGTGCCACGGTGTCAGTGCCTTCCTCCTTCTGTCCCTCATGGGGCTGTCGTGTGCCGGACTGCCTTCCTGCCCCATGGCGGTGCACTCAGCTGTGTCCCTGCAGGCTGGCAGGCCAGAATTCCCTCCTGTGCCTTAGCCAGCAGAGGGCCCACGGCTGACAGGAGGAAGCTGAACCCTTACGGAAGAGAGGGAGTTAGAGTCCAAAGCACAGCTCCCTTCCCCACCCGAACCTGGGCAGCTTAGTTCTGATGAATGCATCATTGCCTTGGCACTGTCGCCCCTGAAGGACCAGGAGATGTTTGGAATGCCAGTTGTCGTAGCTGTTAATATGTTTGTATTTTAAAAGCACATGCCACAAACTGCCTATTCAGAGACTGTGGATCTGCTGTGATTGTGAGACGCTGTGCCTTGATATGCTGATATTCTCCCGTGCCATCTCTCTGCCTATGGGAGCAGCTGTCCGCCAGTCCTACACACACACACAGGGCCTCGGAATCTCTTTACTGCCACTCCGGCCACACACGCTGCACACGCGTCTGATAAGAAGCAACATTATTGTGAATAGCCAGAGTCAATATTAACTACTGGATAAGAATGAAAGTAGTTTGGAAATAATTATAACCACCTCCCCTACCCCCAAAAATATGCTGTTCAAAAAGTCAGTCTGGAGACGCGGGTAACAACCCTATTTTTATACAGTCCCAACTGAATTCTTAATACATGGCAAAAAAGAAAATCACGGCTTAACATAAAGCAGGAGATGTAATAAATAATGAACTGCACTAACAGCTTAACATCATAAGGAGACAGATGGAAAACTTCTCTCCCGAGATCGCTGCTTCCAGAATTAGAGAAAGGGCTTCTGGACGTGTTCAGGGTGGATAGTTCAAGCCTGAATTTCAATGAGATGGGAACACTTTTTAGTATAAATGCAAGATTTTCATGTCTCCCTTTTAGGAAATACAGAGATTATGGCGTTCATCTGTTTCATCCAGGACTCGAAAAGCAAAACCCTGAACCTCAGACTCTTCCAGCATGTTTGATTCAGCCAAACAAGGGAAGATGCTGCGGGTGCTTTGTATGCTATGGAAGTGCTACGATGCCATCGTCTGTCCAGGAAAAGAAAGGAACACCCACCCATGTGGTAAAGCTATCAGAAACTGGAGCATTGGGAATAAAGGAATTATTTCCATGAGACAAGCCGCCCGCCATTGGCTCATAATAAGCTGGAAGACCAATGACTGCTTCTCAGAGACTCCCAAAGGCCCAATGTCCTGGCTGCAGATTTGCGGCTGAGTCAGCACGGTGCACAGCAGAAAGGTGGGGGAGGGTGGCCAGTGCCGCCCTGCCAGGCTCTGTCTGTATTACCTGGAGCAGCACGGACCCTTCAGTCTCCATTCTCTCTTCAGGAAAGAGGCCTCCTCATAGATGGACACATCAAGGCTCAGGTAATCTCGGGAAGCTTATTTACTCACATGGTCCTGGCCTATCAGGCTCTCTGGAGGCCCTTCTTCCTTGGCTGTCAACTATCTTTAAATTGATATGTAATAGTTGTACATATTTATGCAGTACATGTAATATTTTGATATATGCATGCAATACGTAATGATTAAGTCAGGGTAATCGGGATATCCGAGACCTCAAACATGTATCATTTCTTTGTGTCAGGAACATTCCAAATCTTCTCTTCTGGCTATTTTGAAATATGCAATATACCATTGTTAACTATAGTCACCCTACTGTGCTATTGAACCCTAGAACATATTCCTTCTATCTAACTGTATGTTTGTATTCATTAACTAACCTCTTCAATCCCTTCTCCCCTCTACCTTTCCCAGCCCCTGATAACTATCATTCTACTCTCTCCTCCATGAGGTCAACTTTTTCTAGCTTGCACATATGAGTGATAACATGCTATATTTGTTTTTCTGTGCCTGGCTTATTTCAGTTAACATAATTACCTCCAGTTCCATCCACATTGCTGCAGACGACAGGATTTCATTCTTTTTTATGGCTGAATAGTACTCCATTGTGTATACATACCACATTTCCTTTTTTCAACCAACCATTGATGGACATGGGTTGATCCCATATCTTGGCTGTTGTGAACAGTGCTATAATGAACGTGGAAGTGCAGGCATCTCTTCAACATACTGATTGCCTTTCATTTGGATATCTACCCAGCAGAGGGATTACTGAATCATATAGTAGTTCCCCTTTTAAGTTTCTGAGGAACCTCTTTACTGTTATCCACAGTGGGTGCACAAATGTTCATTCTATCAACAGTGCACAAACATTCCCCCTTCTTCATATCTTTATCAGCATCTATTATTTTTTTGCCTTTTGTTAGTAGCCATTTTAACCGAGGTGAGATGATATCTTTGTGGTTTTGATTTGCATTTCCCTAATGATTAGTGATGTTGAGCATTTTTTCATATGCCTGTCAGCCATTTGTATGTCTTCTTTTGAGGAATGCCTTTTCAAGTCATTTGCTTTTTTTTTTGTTTTTGAGACAGAGTCTTTGTTGCCCAGGCTGGAGTGCAATGCCATGATCTTGGCTCACTGCAACCTCCACCTACCAGGTTCAAGCAATTTTTCCGCCTCAGTCTCCCAAGTAGCTGGGACTACAGGTACATGCCACCACACCTGGCTAATTTTTGTGTTTTTAGCAGAGATAGGGTGTCACCATACTGGCCAGGCTGGTCTCGATCTCTTGACCTTGTGATTCACTTGTCTCGGCCTCCCAAAGTGCTGGGATTACAGACATGAGCCACCGTGCCTGGCTCATTTGCTATTTTTAAAATCTGATTCTTCTTCTTTTTTTTTTTTTTTTTTGGAGAAGGTATTTTACTTTTTTTACCAAGGCTGGGGGGCATTGGTCAAACTTCAATCACTGCAACCTCCGCCTCCTGGGTTCAAGCAATTCTCTTGCCTCAGCCTCCCAAGTAGCTGGGGCTACAGGCTCGCGCCACGATGCCCAGCTAATTTTTGTATTTTTAGTAGAGACGGGGTTTCACCATGTTGACCAGGATGGTCTTGATCTCTTGACCTTGTGATCCACCTGCTTCGGTCTCCCAAAGTGCTGGGATTATAGGCGTGAGCCACCGCGCCCTGCCTATTATTATTGTTGTTTCAGTTCCTCACATATTCTGGTGATTAACCCTTTATAGGTTGGGTAGTTTGCAAATGTTTTCTCCCATTCCGTGAGTTGTTGCTTCTCTCTCTTGACTGCTTCCTTTGCTGTGCAGAAGATTTGTAGCTTGCTATTATCCCATTTGTCTATTTTTGCTTTTGTTCCTATGCTTTTGAGATCTTACTCAAAAAATCTTTGCCCAGACCAAGTCTTCAAGAGTAAAATTTGCTTAATATCTGATTAGGGTCTGGGGACCATTCAGACCAAGTCCCCTGGGGCACCCGAACCAATAGGTGATCTAAACCTTCACCACAATTATGAGCCATCACATCAAGCAGCCCATTTCTTCCAAAATCAGCTGACTCTTTACAGAAATTGTGCATTTAAATGTGATGAAGTCACTTGCTTACTTCTCTTGCAGACACTGCAAATAATGGGGTGCTCCAGTTTCACTAAAATGCCTCAGACGAGCTTTCCAACCCACAACCCTTAAACACAAATGAATAATAGTAGCATGGACAATCAAGGGCAAGCTCAAGCTCAAAATGCCAAAACAGAGGACATGGGCCATAAGATTAACTTACCTCTTACTTGCAAGAAAGGGAAGGAAATGATAAAATCAAAGGCACATGTTTCCAAAACCGAAAGAAACAATACACACAAAATGTTAGCCAACGAGATGACGATTGTGTCAGTTACCCACAAGGTCAGGCTCGGGGAGGGCGTGGCTGGGAAGACACCAAAAATCAGAAGTTGTGGATTCCTCAGTCCACTCCTTCCAACACAGTGGAATACGGACTGGTCTGAGAATGTGAGGGCATTCAGGACACTAGGTTGTCATGTGATCAGGGCAGGGCCTTTTTTTTTTAGAAACTTGTTACTTAGAAAAATTTCAAACTTACAGAAAAACTACAGTAATCACTCCTATATATCCTTTATGTAGATTCGCAAAATGTTCGCGTTTCGCCACGTAAGCTCTATCTCGCTCTCTCTGTGAACATATATAGTTTTATGTTATTTTATTTATTTTTTGCTGATCCTTTTCAGAGTTGTCGGTGTGATGATTCCCTGCATACTTCAGGATGCATCCTCCGTAAGTGAGGACACGCTGTTACAGAACACACTCACCCCCATTTTCCATTACTGCGTTAAAGATGACCACAAACCGAGCAGCTCAAGACAACATTTATGATCCCATAGTTTCCGTGGGATTATCCCATAGTCTGGGTTTGGCTTAGCTGGACTCTATGTACAGGGTTGCACAAGGCTGTTATCAAGGGTGGGTCCGGGTTATGGCCTCACCTGGGGAAAAATCTGCCTGTCTTGGCAGAGTTCAATCCTTGCAGCTGTAGGACTGAGAGCTTCAGCTCCTTGTGGGTTCTCTGCTGGAGGCTGCTTTCAGCTCCTAGAGGTCACTTTCAGGGCCTCCCATCACAGGCCTTCCACAGCCTGGAAGCTTGACTCTTCGAAACCAGCAACAGAGTAAGAGATTCCAGCAGGGAGGGGCTACAGTCTTACATAACACAATCACGTAACGATGTGCACATAACTGCAGACCTCTAGTCACTTTTGCCATACTCTATTAATTAGAAGAAAGTCACAGGTCGTTCCCACTCTCAAGGGAAGGGTGTCACACAAGTCAAGAACACCAAGTGGGCTAGGCGTGGTGGCCCATGTCTGTAATCTCAGCACTTTGGAAGGCCAAAGTGGGCGGATCACTTGAGGTGAGGAATCTGAGACCAGCCTGGTGAAATCCCATCTCTACTAAAAATACAAAAATTAGCTGTGATGTTGGTGGGTGCCTATAATCCCAGCTACTTGGGAGGCTGAGGCAGGGAGAGCACTTGAGCCTGGGAGGCGGAGTTTGCAGTGAGCCGAGATCATGCCTCTGCACTCCAGGCTGGGCGATGCAACAAGACTCCATCTCAAAAAAGAACACCAGGTGGTGGGATCATGAAGACCACCTTAAGTGTCTGTCTGCCAACATTATACAGTGACCAAATTCATTCTCCTTCTTAATGTATCAGCACCTGATGTCAGCTTGTCCCGTTATTGGTGATATTAACTCTGATTATTTGGTGAAGATTTCTCATCTGTTAAATTTACCAGTTTTCCTTTCGTAATTATTGTCATAGCCTTCATCAAAATTTCACCCCACCATTTTAGCAAAATTGCTGATTCTTTGCCTAAATTAATTATTAACATTATGGTTGCAAAATGCTGATAAAAAAAACTTCATCATTCTTTTTTAAACTCCATTGTTCAGCGTGTATTATTTGGCAATTGACTGTAAGAAAGAGCTTTCCCACCACTGTATATCCGAGGGTGTTTTCCTGTTCACTAGGTCATCAGGCTGGGCTGCAAGATAGAATATAACATGCATATGGCAGACGTCAAAAGGTAGGTAAGTATCAACCAGGGAAGACACCAGACATGATTTGAGGTCTCTGAGAACAGACAGCATGCACACCTGGCTCGAATGGCCCAGCCATGACTTGCAGCCAGGGAAGAGTCAGCGTGCACCCAAGATCTAGCCCCTTGCATTGCGCTGGCCCCCATGGCCGGTGGGTCCACTCCACAGGGGATATAGGGGATGTAGGTCCACTCTTCATGGACCCCCAGATTCTCCCCATGTAAGGTCTGAAATACGAAAAGCTGGGGATGTGTCTGACGGCCATCAGCCTACACACTTAAGCAGAACACAGGCGCCCACATGGAATTGTAACAGGGAACGATATCCCTGCCCAGGTGATAAGCCCAGCAGAGGCTACGCAGGCTCTTTATCTTCCTGTAAGGAAATGTTCCAGGCCCAAGGCCCATCTTCCACAGCTGAGCAGATGCACAGACCACACGTGACTGCTTTTCCAGTAGTGGCTATGTATTTATGCAGGCATAGACTTGAGGAATTTTATTATTTTCATGGCTTAAAATATATTACGATCATGACTTGTTTAATCAAATTGTCCCATATTTGGTCAGCGGGAGCCCTTTCAAGCTGGCGTCTGTCTCCTGAGTCCTTTGAACATGTCCCCAGCATTCTCTGAGAACTTCCTTACTTTTTGGCATTACAAGATGATACGGGTCAATCTTGTTCTTTCCTGCCCCAGTCCTGGAATCAGCCATTTCTCCAAGCAGCCCTGGTTTCTTTTATGGGAAAATGGCATGTAGAGACCAAGATCGGTGTGCATGAGAGTCACAAACAAAGACGTGGGTGATAGAATTGGGAGAAGCCACTGCAGAGACATTGGATGCCAGCTGCACTGCAGGTTCTTGAGGCTGAGAGTTAACTGTCAGCAAAGTTTCTCTTGAATGCCCCCAAGTGTTTAGAGCCACACTAAACCCTTAATGGGTCCTCTTTAAATGCCTGGTCGATTGATTCATTTATTCATTGACTGTATTTATTGCTTGATAATAGAGCCAGTTAGTTTATTTGACGTATTTCCATGGACTATTGCAATAGGTGCAATAAAGTGCATGAGTGACTTGGAGGTCATCCAGGCCACACCTCCATTTGGCTAATGAGGCCTCTTGGACCTCATCGGGGAAAATGTCATCTCCAGGTCACACACTTGGCCGACAGCAGAGCCAGGTCTGGATGTCAGCCCGCCCGGCTCGCTCCGGCACGTCTCATCAGTACAGCCTATAACGAGATGCCAAAAAGAATCCTCTCCTTTTAACAGCAGAAAAGGTTTTCTAAAGCCTCATGGTGACTTGTCTACTGTGGCTGAGCACGGGAGCCATGCATTTCTGACCTAGCCCACCACAGCCAGAGTTCCTAGCCCGAGGCTCATGGGTTATTGCCAAAAGTCAAACTGGAGGTTGCCAGTTGGCAGGCCTTCAGTTAGCAGAGTCATCCTCAACCGTGGGCTCTCTGGAGTTCTGAACCCAACCAATCCACCAGGCTTTCTCCACTGCTGACCATCTGCAGGCCACTAAGTTCTAGAGGCTGCAGTGATTCTGGGAGTGGCAAGGTCCCCATTTCTGCCCTGAGGTTCTCTGTGTCTATTTCACTGTGAGAGTGAGCAATGTTACTCCTCATTCATTCAAAATAAATAAAATTGTTCTAAAAAGCTAGCATCGTAATCGTAGCTGTGGTTCATTGGCCTTAATCCATGCCTGATCCCTTGCATACTTCCTCTCTGGTCATCGCGACCACCATGCAAGGAAGCTATAATTATCTCCTCATTTTTCAGATGAAAAACCAGGGCCAAAAGAGACACAGTCTAGTCTAAAGTCACGGTGAGGCCGTGGAAGTGTGAGCCCGCAGCTGAACCCTGATCCCTGGACTCTGAGCAGGTACCTCCCCTCTGCAAGGATGAAAGAACATTTAAGGCCAACAGGCTGAGTGGAGGTGGCTGGACACTGATTCTTCTCTCCTCACTACTGGGGTTGGCCTGTGTTCCCAGGATCGTGGTGGCCCCTGGCTCTTCCTCTACCCCATCCCATCCCTGGGCTTCTCTCTCTTTCTCTCTGCCAGCCCCAGGCGGGCTCCTCACGGCCCCAGGCTCCCTTCTGACAGCAGCAGCTTCTGCACTGGCTTTCTGCTTCCCTAAAGGAACTTAGCTCTAGCTCTCAGTTTTTAAATCCCAGAAAATGTTCTGGCAGGTCCAGCCTATAAACATCCGTCGTTTGGCTGTAGCCACAACCAGAGATTTCCCCTTGTAGTCCTTGGCACTTTGCCTGGGGGCCACTGTGCCAGGGCGGGCCTTGGCCGTAGAGGTTTTCCTGGCCCCCTTGCTGGGAAGCACTTATGGATGGAGACGAACAGTTGATCAGGGCTCAGACAAGTTTAACTTTCGCTGTGGGACCAGCATTCAAATAAAAACATTTTAGTGATCTGATAGGGCTGATACTGGGGTTCCCAGTAGCCCTGAAGAGATTGCAGAGTTAGACCTGGACTCTAGTGCTGGTCCTACTCGGTACTGACCGTGGGACCTTGGGCACATTACCTAACCCTGGGAGGGGCAAAACACTGTGACCCCATCACCGTGACTCCATCACTGGCTGATCTATCCCAAAGCTAATAAAGCTTAAGGGTTTTGTTTTTGTGATTTTCCATCCTTTGTTTGCGAGGGCACCTCAAATGGTATAAACTGTGAAGACTTGGAGCTATTTCTACTCATTGTTGAGGGCTATTTACCTGTTTTAAGGGACAATCATTTTTTTTTTCTCTCTAAGGAATAAGTGAAATGGTGAATTTCATAGCTTTGTGACCACAGAACCCAAGGAGTAGACCCAGAATTCTCTGGAAGGGAAACGTCACTGTCACATCATAACCCTCCAGGCCTTGGTCCAAACTCCTCCCCTTCTCCCACCAGTCTGGGTCTCCTGAAGCCATGCAGGAGAAAGTGCCTGGAAATAGCCAAGTGCTGTTCAGATATCAGAATAAATAAGTGCTGTTTTCAGGTCGTGTTTCTCTAGTGCAGCAGATCCCCACCTGGCTACACGCTGGAATAAGCGAGAGACTTCCAGAACCACAAATGCCTGGGTTGTACCCCAGAGAGATTCCATTAGAGTCACTGAGAGCAGGATGTGGGTCTTGGCACCTTGTTTGGGTTGCTCAGAGGATGCTCCTGTGCAGCTGAGGTTGAGAGCCGCTGCACGAGAGAGCCGTCCTGGGCCTTCCAGATCATGTGCTTCTGCAATATTAATTCTGGAGTATTAATCTTCACTGCTCATTTGGTGCTTAGCATTGTCCCCTTGTCCTGTCATTTGTTATTTCTTCTTCACAGAATAGGTGGTGAGGACCCTGCTATTGCCCCAGCTGTGGGCATTTGTTTAATTCCACCTAAAACTGCGAACAGGAGGATTTATCTGACCGTTTACCGTGCACTCAGGGATGCCAGTCCCGCTGGATAGGTGCTTCGGCCCCTCTTATATGCTAGGAGCCTTCGTCTCATCCGAGCCCCATAAAAACCTGCAAAGGAAAGAGTTTAGTGGCTCTATTTTACAGGTGAGGGAGGTGAGGCTCAGAGAGGTCAAGTAGCTTGCACAGGCCACAGGGCTACCCGGTGCGGGAGTTCTGTGTGCAAAACCTCGTGCCTGGGCCGGGAGTGGTGGCTCACGCCTGTAATCCAAGCACTTTGGAAGCGAAGGCAGGCGGATCACCTGAGGTCGGGAGTTCCTGACCAACATGGTGAAAACCTGTCTTTAAAAACAAACAAACAAACAAACAAAAAACCTCGTGCCTGTCTGCAGCACACGACCCTGGCTATGTCTTGTCCAAGCAAGGACTGACAGAGAGAAAGTGTGTTTGGGCGTAAAGCTGGAAGCCAGCTCAATAATTAAGAAACTATAAAGCTGGGATTTGAGCTTTTTGCTGCAGAATTTCCTGATATGATTCATGCTCATTTTGTGTGGCCAGGGTTAGCTCTAAATGATTAGGTCAACTATAAAATGTGGGCGCTTTCCTGAGTTCCTGCCGAAATAAATTAATAATACAATGACCTATAAATATTTAATAGCCGATTAGAGGTTTTTTTCTCTTTTTTGGATGGGTATCAACATCCTTGCATAATTGCACTTGAAAGTTGCAGATGATCTCTAACCCTTGTATTTTTCAATATAACCTATGTAAATTACCTCTTCAAAAAAATCTGTTTGGAGTAACAGGCCTGGCAGGAAACATGGATAGCAAAACCATTCAAACCTGGAGGTCACTTCACTATGAGAGGTGAGGACAACCTGCTTGACCAAGAAGAGGTGGCAGTGGGTGCTGATATTTCCGTAAATGACAGTTGCTTCTGTGAAAAATACAGCTCTCCTGTCATCCCAGCCCTCTTCCTTTATGCCCAGAAGACCGTAAGCCAGATTCCACACTGACCTCAGGTGACTTAGAACTTTTGCGGCCAGGCATGGTGGCTCATGCCTGTAATCCCAGCACTTTGGGAAGACAAGGTAGATGGATTTGCTTGAGGCCAGGAGTTCAAGACCAGCCTGGGCAACACGGTGAAACCCTGTCTCTACCAAAAATGCAAAAATTAGCCAGTCTCCTATCCCAGTCTCAAGAAAATAAATAAATAAAAATTTAAAGATAAAATTAAAATATTTTTTAAAAGGAACTGACCTGCCTTGTAGGTATGCAGGAATCAAAACCACAAGCTTTCCTTTCTAAGGCAGCAGCTCTCCCTTAGTGGTTGGGTGAATGGTCCTGGAGCTTGCTGAAAATGCAGGTCAGTGGGGCTGGCCAAGGAATCTGTCATATTAGTGAGCAGCCCAGAGCCCTTGGGTCTGTGAACACTTAGCATCACGCTTCAGTGGCCATCCAGTCCAACCTCCTCCTTTTTGTCTGATCCCCAATCCCATCTCTGCCATTGGGGTTCCTCTGGGCTCCCAGGATCAATACTGGAGAAGGAGGTAGTATTGGGAGGGTGAGAAGTTGGGCTGTGATGCCCAGTGAAG